GATGCTTGGTGTTTTGCATCCAAGACTTTTAAACCTATCTAATCAAACGCAGTGTGTTTCTGTAGGAGATGTAGTTTTGATGGAAACCAAGATTATCTAAGGATATTTTTTCCCGTGGTGTTTTAAAACAAAATTAGAAGGAAAAAAAAAAGAAAAAGGCAAATGTGGTTTATTTAATCCAGTACCAATTCCCGATGGACTGGTAAAATGCTGCTGTGTTTCACTTTTGCCATTCCCAGGAGAGGAGTGGATGAATGAAATAATGATTCAGTCTGAGCTTCCCACCTGTCCCTAAAGGTGATTTCCAGGCGGCAGCTAAAGGAGTTTGTCTCAGTACTGAAGACTCTGATTTCTCTGGAATAGGCTCTCGGACAAATGAAAGATGCATCTAGTTTCCAAGGCAGAACATCTAGCGCCTTTCCTCATCCCTAAACTTTTCTTCCTGCTTTGTGCACATGTATTTAGAAAAAGAAAGTAGCTAATGTCAACAGATCCGTACAGATGTCTTTAATCAGTTTCCAAATGTGTAACAACGGTACAAAGAAACATAATGAAGTCATGTGTTTTATTTTAACACTCTTTTTAGGGTCAAGAGCCAAATTGTTTCTGCTGCATTTGGTTCTTGAGGCTGTTACAGGATCTCGCCATAAGTTTTTCCAGGGTTATGAGCCATGCAAGAAAAGAAAGTAGGGTTTCACCCAGTGTTTAAATACTGTAAGTGATTTGCAAGGTGAGAATTTTTCACATTGTCTCTAGGATGTTACTGGTAGTCAAGAAGAACTGGGTAAACTAGTGTCCTTATTTTCCTTTTATTTCCTATTATTTTATTTCAGTTTTAACTCATGGTTAGTTGTATCGCAGTGCAGCTCCGCGCTTCTTCTGGTACCTCTTCTCCATGCAGAGCAATTCAGTTGTTCCTCCTCCCCTCTTTTCCTTCCCTCACCCCTTAGCTGGAGAAGAAAAGATCTAAGTAGGTGAGAAAGGACGAGTGTATAGGTATTTCTTAAAATGAGATCTAGATTTATGGAAAAAAATCGTAAAACCAAGAAATAAGTCTGATGTGCTGTAATTGCAAAGAGTTCTGTCTGTCTGTTTCCAAGACCTTAAAACGTAAGGTGTTACTTCTCCATCATTAAACTCTTTTGTCACTCATGGCTTGTCCTAGGCTGTCACATCAGCCACGTAAATTTGTAGTCAGTTGTTGCAGTATCTTAAATAGCTCCAGCTCTGTAATCTTTGCAAGGTTTGTTTTTCCCCTTATGCAAGTGTTTGCAAGTTCTGACTCATCTTTGTGTTTTCCTTTAATCACAGCTTTGTAATTTCTCCTGTTAACGCATTCTTTTTGTTCTTGCTAGTAGGTCGTGGCAAGCTATTTGTTTACCTATGTAAAAGAGAGGAACAAATTTTATTCTTAGTCGTGTGCATGTCTTACAGTGACTTATTTAGCAGGCTGTTTGCGTGTGGGATGGCAGGGCTGAACCTGCAGATGCTCCGGCTGCCTTTACTACACGTGCTGCACAGTGCAAGAGAACCAATTTTAAATATATATTTTTTTTTTTTTTTGGTCATGGAAGGGGTCAAAAATGTGAGTTGGGTATCTTTAATGTGAAGAAGACATCCTGACGCGTGGTGCGTGGCAGAAGCTCCGTTGGCGCGGCAGCCAGGTGGATGGAAAGCGAACCTCCCACCCGCTGGCGTGAGCCACGCAGATGCTCCGGCAGCCTGGCTGTGCAGGCAGCCAGCTCTGACATGAAAACCACGCCGATGAAAAGCAGATCTCATTTGAGGAAGTTGAAAAAGGCGTGTCATTTAAGTGGTTTGGGTTAAATAAACACCGTTTATTTCTAACGTGCGGAGCAGCCGAAGGTGTATGGTATTAGGGCTTGGATTTGCAAGGGAAGTATCCATAGATACCTAAAGAGAAACAGGTGGGGAATATCACACGCAGCATCAAAGGTGCTTTTGTGCTGAGAATTACTGAATTAAGGTGTAACAAAGCTGCTTTGTTAACTGACCAGCGTTGTTAAAATCTCTTTTCTCAAACAGGAAATCTTGCTGGCCCACACAGGAAAAGCAAAAGCAGTTGACAAAAGCCTTATAATTTATATACTGACAGCCTACTTCATTGTTAAACATGATTCTTTAATGCACTGTATCTGGCATGTGATTGATTTCCTTGTAGCCTGTTACCCAGCTGAAACTAGCAACATGTCAGCATTGTCCCTTTTTCCTTGGAAATTGCGGATAAATTCAGTGTTCTTTCAAAATATTGTGTCCCAAGACCTTACAGGGCTGGTGAGCGACTGCGCTCGGCAGCTGTTTCATCGGTCTCTAGAAAATTATATATATAAGGTCCGGGTTTTGTTACACTGTACAAATCTCGTATATGCTGGTGAGACTCAAGGGTTAAATTCCCAACACTGTCGCATATGGCAGTGAGCAGAATCACAGATGTTGATGATACAACATAATTAGTATTCTTTTATGTAAATGAAGGCTGTCAATGTTACCATAGTGTCTATACTCTTTCAAGCTGGAATCTATGCCACTTGGTCTCACCAAGGCTAGACAGGATTATTCCACAATTTTCTATCAAGACCTGAGCAGAAAAATAAAGAAGAAAGAGGAGGGGGAAAAAAGGTCAGGGAGGAAGGTGGGAAGGGATGTTTCCAACTTGGAAAGAGGAGACCAAATCAGTCCTTTGTTTAGGTAGGATTTCCGAAAGTGTCTTTCCAGGTCCTAGGATTTGTGAGTGAATGAACGCAGCCCGAAGGAGAGGTGTAGCGGATTTTTGAACTGTTTTAAATAAACAACTAAAATGGTTATTTAGGCACTGCAGAATCGCTCTGTGGAGAGGAGTTCTGAAGTGGCCACTTGTGCTTTAATCTGAAGTCGAGAAGAGTTAAAGAATAGAAAAGCTTTGATTTTTCTGTAACGGATTCCATCTCTAGCAGCAGTGTCACTGGAAGAAGACGGTAATTAAAGTAAATTTGCATAATTCGGGGACCACTAAAAATATGTTTTCTTAGCCTGGTCAGCTCGGTTTTCTGCAGACTGATCGAGGCAACTGTTCAATACCTATCTTAAAGCTTTGGGAATGCGTCCCATGGCCTTTGCTTGTATTAAACTTTGCCCCTCATAAAATGATTTTTGTAATTAAATACTCCGTATGCCAGACCTGACACACTCTGTGATGTCTGCAGCCGCTTTGTAGGTGTTGTTGCCATCCCTCCCATCACAACTTTGTGTTGCATGGAAGTGCTGGGGTCGTAGATGCGTAAGCAAGTTAATTGAGTCCTGGATCGTTACAGCAGATAGGTTTGTACAATCTTCTCCGCCTTTGGCAAAATGCAGGTTCTTCCCATTTTTCTTTCCTCGGTAGTTCTCGTTGCCGTTCACACTTGACAACTATTCATTACTTCGGTTTTATTGTTTGAAAAATCATCTAGAAATGAAATGTAATTCAGGACAGGTTGTGGGTTTTTTTTTTTCTTTTTCCCCATCTCCTCCCCCCTTCTTTCACCAAGTTATCGAAGCAGCCAAAATTGAAGGGATCACAGGAGGTGCACGTTTTTGCTCGGGTTTTTTTTTTCTCGGATTTTTTCTCTGCCATATGTTGGGTCAACCACTACAAAAGACTTATGATGAAGAGGCTACATGTGATCAGCAGATTTATAGATTGTCAGAAAATGAATGCAGAAAAACGAAATTCCAGAGTTCCTCTTCTGTGTGACGTTTCTTAACGTATTTGGGTTCCTAGGTGCGTTCATGCTTTGACTTCCAGATAATTCTCTTCTCTGTAGTAAATGTGTTCTCTGCAGTAGCTCTTGCACTGAGGGGATTAATCGTGTTCAAAAGCAACCCTGCCAGCGTTCGTAGTTTGTTTATGTGCATCACAAGAATATTTTCTCTCTAGGGCTTTGAAGACGTGCTGCCTTACAATGAAGACTTAAGTAGTAATTAAATTCTCGAGGAACCGCCGAGACTCCTTTGGCTGAAATGGGGATGTTCCGGGCCCTGGATGCTGCGTCGCGGAGAAAAGGATGTTTAAACACGACTCCGTGAGTAGGGCGTGCGAGTGGGTCTGGGCGATCTTTCCGCACCCCGATCTCTTTCCATTGGATCAGAGGGTTGGAGGGATTGTACAAAAGAAAGCAGAGCGCTGGCATGCGGCGTTTTAGTTGTGCTCTTTGTACAACTGAATATCTTTTATAAAACATATTGGTGCAGGAGATGGAGTGAAAGCTTTTTGCACCTTCCAGTATTCCTGCTTTGATTTCTTTTCAGTTGCAATATAGTAATTTAGTAAAGCAGTTGCTTTTTCTGTTTATGTGTACTCATGCAAACATGTACACATACAGAAGTTCCCTTAGGTTTACTATAACATGGTGTTACACATTTCATTCTTTTTTTTCCCTGATGATTTTTTTTTAAACGTTAAAATGTTTGGGAGCCTGTGGGAAATCGAAGAATTCGAGGGTAGAATGTGAAGCCTGTGGACTTGCAAATGCGCTGGTTATGACAATTATCTGATATTTTTGTGGCTTCTGCGAGAAGTTGATAACCTCAGTCTAGTTCCTGATGACATGCATTCGAATTCCAAATTCATTTTGTATGTATCAATTTCAAGAGGGCAGCTAAAGATCAAATGCGTGTGTGGACTGAATTAATCTTTTTCTCCTTGGAAGCGAGACGTTCAGGTTGGGTAAGGCGTGCTGGCAGCTGTCTGGGCCGTCCTTAGCAGACAGATAGGCAGTTTTATTCTGTAGACCTTGTCAATCCAGTATCTTTCACTAGGACTAAAAACGGCTTTTAAAAAAACAGCGCGCAGAAATAATGTAGTTGGTTGAGGCAGAACTGCCGTTGGGATTGACAAGACGTGACATCTGTAGTTTTATAGGTCTTTACAGCTGGTACAAAAGAGATCTTTTTAAATATGTATAGTGGCTCTAAGATCCTTTTCTTTCTGTTTTTTTGCCTTCCAAGGTCAAAGCAGCGAAGACTTCTGTAAGACATGGATAGATGCAAACATGTTGGGCGGCTACGACTCGCCCAGGACCACTCTATCCTGAACCCCCAGAAGTGGCACTGCGTGGACTGCCAGACAACCGAATCTATCTGGGCTTGTCTGAAGTGCTCCCACGTAGCCTGTGGGAGGTATATCGAGGAGCATGCACTTAAACACTTTGAAGAAACCAGGCATCCGTTGGCAATGGAAGTTAACGATCTGTATGTCTTTTGTTACCTTTGTGAAGATTATGTCTTGAATGATAACCCGGAGGGTGATTTGAAATTGCTGAGAAGTTCTCTGTCAGCAATTAAAAGTCAAAAACATGATCCGTCAACAAGAAGTGGCAGGACATTGCGATCAATGGCTTTGGGAGAGGACATGTGCAGCCATCAAAGGAGCCCTCAGGGACAATCTCAGATGCTTACAGCTCTCTGGCACAGGCGCCAGTCCTTGCTTGCAAAGGCGCTACGGACCTGGTTTGATAAGAGCTCTAGAGGCCAGCTAAAATTAAAACAAAAGAAACAAATGGAGGAGTTGGAGAAAAAGAAGGAGGCAGCTAGGCAGCGGCGGCAGGAGATGAAGAGACAACTCCTGGAGGAGCTGGCAAACACTCCTCCGAGGAAGAGTGCAAGGCTGTTGTCTCACGTGCACAGAGAGAACTTGATTCCAAGGAAATTCAGGGAGGTGGCGACCGCTTCCCCTACCTCAAGGCAGATGCAGAGCAGCAGATTCAAACAGTTTTATTCCATCCGGCGTAAGCCTCTGATGACTCCCGGGGTAACGGGTCTAAGGAACCTGGGAAACACATGTTACATGAATTCTATTCTGCAAGTGCTAAGTCACCTCCAGAAATTTAGAGAATGTTTTTTGACACTTGATCTCTGTGAAACAGAAGAACTCTTAGCCAAAACTGTGAATGGGAAGTCTAGGATGCCTGGCAAATTGGCAAATGGGTCTGCTGCTAATGAGTCAGGGAAGACTGACAAAGTGGGATCATATGGCACGCAGAGCTTGCCAGCTGGCTTAAATGGTGGCTCCTCAATAAGCAGGAGTTTAGAACTAATACAACCCAAGGAACCAAGTTCAAAGCACATCTCCCTCTGTCACGAATTGCACACCCTCTTCAGAGTGATGTGGTCTGGCAAGTGGGCGCTCGTGTCGCCCTTTGCCATGCTGCATTCTGTGTGGAGTCTGATCCCAGCGTTTCGAGGTTACGATCAGCAGGATGCTCAGGAATTTCTCTGCGAGTTGCTGGATAAAGTACAGCAGGAGCTGGAGTCGGAAGGAACGAAGCGCAGGATCCTTATCCCTTTCTCACAGAGGAAGCTCACCAAGCAGGTCCTGAAGGTGGTGAACACCATTTTTCATGGGCAGTTGCTTAGTCAGGTATGCACCTACTTTTGCAGAGAAATCAGTTGGAGCCATTCACACCAAGGAGCAAAGGCTCTTGTTTCTTGAGGAACCACCGGATAAGTAAGAGGAATTGGTTAGGGGTGCCTCCTGAGAAAGAAACCTGTTGGGTTGCTGTGCAGGTTGTCAGCATTTTTGACCCCTGTCACATGTCTTGTAAATTCAGTTGACTTTTGCCACTTCAGAATGAAATCTGCACAAATACCGAAGTTCTGAGCCCTTGGTTTTAAGTTCTTACCATGTTTTTAAAGTGTCTTTGTAATTTGTTTTGTTCTTTCCTGGTTTTGTTTCCATGGCTAGAAAGAATGCGATGAAGGACAGAGAGGGCGGTCATCTTGTGCTATAAAGAAAAAACTCTGTGACAATTGGGGGTTTTTTTGCAGGCATATGAAAGTCATCTTGAGATACTGAGTGTGCTGAACCTGAGTTTGTGTAGGAGCTGAAAGTGCCTGCCATGGTGCTTGGTCTCTGATTCCTGTGCCGTTCCCTTGTCTGACATGTGTTATTCCCCACAAGGCAGACCCTGAGAACCCAGGGCATTCTGAAAGTCCTCAACTACCTTTGCTTTCCAGAAGAAAGGAAACTTGTGCATGACTTGACACTCAAGGGTTTGCAAGATCAGACCACGAAGCGTATTCTATGTGTGCATTCTCATTACTATTTATATCATCCTTCTCGGTGCCGTTCTTACTAAGCTTACGACTCCTAAGAACTTATGTGCAGATTAAAGATAAAAAGGTGTATTTTTCAAGTTTAAGCTTTTGGCTTTTCAGGGAAAGGATGCTTGAAGTCATGGTTCATTGGAATCATCTCTGCAGTGCGTGAACCACACGGACTTCTTAACTAAAAGCTCCTTGTTCGGTTGTCAAGAGACAACTGGAAAATGGTGCACGTTCTAGGTTCGGTGGTAGGTCTCTGTTAACAGCATGAAGATGTTCACAGATCAGTGTAATTTAGCTGTTACTATAATACACCATAAATAACTTGCCGAGCTATTTATTCTGCTTACGTAACTCTTGTGTGCATGTACCGTATTTAATTTCAAACCCCTCTACGCTTGAAGTTACCGGGCCCTTCAGTGCATGAAGCTGCAAGGTTGGAAGTCGGTTTCTGGCGGCTGGTTCTCATAGGAACGCACAGTCTGACCAGACCTGCTTTCTGGTTGTGTTACCCCCTCATGTTCCCACTTGCTGCCTCTGAGTTTAACTGAAAACTTTTCTGCTGTTCTTATTTGTAATACTGTGGGATGACGTAAGAGAACAAGTGCACCTGAAGTTTGTTCTTTCATGCTCCATTCATGAATAATTTTTATTTAGTTAGCAGATGAAACATTAAAGGAATGACACACTTTGAAATATGCAAGGAAAGCAGAGAAAATATGGAAGGAAGACTGCATGATAAATGCTAACGTGTACGTTTTGTAGTAGAAAACAGATCCAAGGTGCTTGTTACCCAACTGTGAATTGGTGTTGTACCTGTCATGGTGTTTAGCTGAGGAAGTGAATCCCATAGAGGTGAATATTGTCTCCATTTTTTTGAGAATTGAGAAAGTATTTTGAATTACCTGCTCAAGGTAGACAGCTTTCAGGCTGGAAATAAGTAGCATTTCACTTGACTTGGAGATCATCTTTCTATCTGTGAAACTGCACTGCCTTTTGGGCAAAAACTTGCTCTTTAGATGTGACAGTAAATGCCAGTCCGCAGGTGTACCTGTACGTAACTTCATTTGCGTGTACACATTTCATTCCCAGGTCACCTGCATAACATGCAACTACAAATCCAACACTGTTGAGCCCTTTTGGGATCTTTCCCTGGAATTCCCCGAGCGCTATCACTCCATCGAGAAAGGAATCGTCCCTGTTAATCAGACAGAGTGCATGCTGACAGAGATGTTGGCCAAGTTCACCGAGACCGAAGCTCTGGAAGGGAGGATATACGCGTGCGACCAATGCAACAGTAAGTCGGATCCTGCTGATGTCTTTGCCAAGCAGGTTCTCCTAGAGCATGTTACACAGGACGTCGTCCAGGTGGGCTTTGAATATCTCCAGAGAAGGAGACTCCGCAGCCCCCCTGGGCAGCCTGTTCCAGTGCTCGGTCACCCTCAGAGTAAAGAAGTTTTTCCTCGTGTTCAACTGAAACCTCTTATGTTTCAGTTTGTGCCCATTGCCCCTTGTCCTGTCGCTGGGCACCACTGCAAAGAGTCTGGCTCTGTCGTCGTGACATCCACCCTTGAGATATTTGTACGTGTTGATGAGATCCCCTCTCAGTCTTCTCTTCTTCAGGCTGAACAAGCCCAGCTCTCTCAGCCTTTAACGTTTCTGATGTGTGTTTTGTGTGTCTGAAAACGTGTATCGTGGCCTATATGTATAGGGAAACTGTTCTTCTTGCTGCTCATGCTGTTCTGTTTCCTCCTGTTGATGGCTTCTGCTCCTTTGGGCACCACTTTGGAGCCAGTATGTCATTTTTCTCTCATTTCTGCCATGCAGCAGCACAATTTACTAAGGGTTTAATACAACCCTGGTCAGAACTGCTCTTGCTGCTTGTGCTGGAAGGGAAAGGCGACTTCCAAAATTTTTTTTTGGGGGGAAAGGGGTTGGATTTAGAGACAGAAAAAGGAACTTTAGTCCCTACGGCTTGTTCATCTCCGCGTGGCAGGAAAGCTTTTATAACAAGTCATCTATATGCTGCTTGTTCTTGATTGAATCCGTTAACCAGAAATCACAAATGCGGAGTTCTTAAGGTCTGCCGCCAGGTTAGAGTTTCCATCTCTCTGTAGGCATTTTGTCAAGAAGCAATGAACTGACATTATTCTGGGAGTCTCGGGTTAATGTATTACCTGTTATATGAATGCACGTGTTTTGCTGTGCTCAGCTAGAAGATGACTTCTGCTTTCCTGTAGTAGGGCTGAGTGTAAGGTCATTATATGCTTGAAAATAATTTTAGCCTTGGGTATAATCATGCAGCTCAGCTACTCTGATAAGCTGGATTTGATTTTTTTTTTTTTTTTCATGCAGGTATTTGTGGCAAATGTTCATCCCCTTGGGAGGAAAATGCCAATAATTTGACTTGGATTGCAACTAAGCAGCTGAAGTAGCAAGTATTTGTAGAGATCTGTTCTCTATCAACTTGCAAATCTGTTACCAAACATCTTCAGAAAGCGTTAGGAAATAATGGTTGACTAGATGTTCTTGAAACAAAGCCAAATATAATTTGAACAGGTTCTGGTGCACAAATAACGTTGACAAAGTGTCGATAGGGATGAGTACAGCTTCCTCTTAACTCTCTTTTCTTTGATTCCTTGGGAAAGCCCGAATTTTAACAGTTACTTCAGAGCTAACTGGCTAAGAAAACCTAAGCCAGCTGAAAAAAAGTCAGGGAAAGGCAACCAAGCCTGCGTCTAGGTGCCAAAAACTATTGGGGGCACTGCTTGTCAGACGTGGTGGAGGAGGAGCAACCCATCTGTTCTGAAGCAGTGCAGTGAGGTGCAGAAATCTAATTAACAGGTACATTTCTTATTGGAAGCTCTGAAAGCCACCTGTCTTCCTCCTGCTGTAGTAGTATGTTCAGTGTCCTGGAAAGTGTAATCACTGGGAAGAGGAATCTTTTTTTCCCTCTTCTCCAGTTTCGGTTCAGAGGTTGTTTTGGACACGCAGACACCCTGCAAGAGGTGGAACTTTGCTGGAAGCATTTTCATCTGACTTGTCTGAATATTCTTGAGCTAGTGAAGCTTGCTACTACGAGCCTTACTCTAGTGGTATAAGGGGATCACAGTAGTAGACAGAATACAATATCAAATACTATTATTTGTATGCTGGTAGTTCACCTGTTGAAACTGCTACAGCCCTAGATGTCTTTGGCACTAGATTTGTCTTAATATTTCTGGTGTATTTCTCAAGAGCAAAACATCAGCATGAGCAGCTTGAAGGTGGTAACTGGTCGTGTGATTATGAGCATCACAAAAGTGAAAACGTTTAAGTATTTGGGGGGTCGGTCTCTTCTCCCTGGTAACGGGCGATAGGATGAGGGGAAATGGGCTGAAGTTGTGCCAGGGCAGGTTTAGCTTGAGTATTAGGAAAAAATTCTTCCCCAAAAGGGCTGTCAAGCACTGGAAGGGGCTGCCCAGGGAAGGGGTCGAGTCCCCATCCCTGGGGGGATTTAAAAGCTGGGCAACGAGGTGCTGAGGGCCAGTGGTGGGATGGCAGGGTTAGGGGAACGGTTGGGCTTGATGGTCTTAAAGGACTTTTCCAACCAAACGATTCTATGATTCTATTTTTAAACACATGAGTTTTGATCCTAGAGAAGTTCCTGCTCTGTGAAGGAATCCATAAGAAATGTTTGCTTGCGTGCCCATCCTGAGCACATGTGAACTGGACTACTGCTCCTGGAAGAAGAAGAAGAGTTCAGAACATGCTCTTTTCCCCTTCTGAAAATCAATTACATCCTAACAATCTTTGCCTTGATTTTTTTTTTTTTTTCTTTTGGTAGGCAAACGGCGAAAGTCTTCTCCTAAACCTCTTGTTCTGAGTGAAGCTAAAAAGCAGTTAATGATCTACAGACTACCTCAGGTCCTCCGACTGCACCTTAAACGATTCAGGTGAGTGGGGCACGCTCCATGGTGTCAGGCAAGCGACTCGCCTCTGTCTTTTTGGAAGGAAGTGATTAGTGTGGGCCTGTAACTTCTCTCGCATTCTGGGAAATACATGTTTATAAACTTTTTACCCAAACTAGATCTGATACCCTCTCAGAGTACTACATACATTACAGTCAGTAGCCTGTTGGTAGCATGTTTTCTACTATACACACAATATAAAGTTTTGTAAAGATTAATACCGATTTCCTTGAATTGTACTCAATGGTGTTTGTCCGAGTTTGCAGACAACATGAAACAGTGGCTGAGAGATGGATGAACTGATCGGCTGAGGGAAAGATTTGTTGAAGCTGGAAGCCCGTGATAGTTAAATGCTAATAATATGTATTTACTGTTGAATAAAACATAGCAAAGTTCCAAATATTATGAAAAGTTTCTAAAATGTTTAGTACAGGCAAGTGAGGTGTGTGGGGTTTATAGTTATATAACTGAGTATTTTAAATGCTGTTTGACTGTCACAATAGATGTTTGGCTTGCTTTGTGTTTGGCTGTTGCAAATCTCAACAATATCCTAACTATAAAAAATGGGCGTCAATGACAGAATCGGCTGTATGCAAAAGATGACTGTCCTAGATGTTAGAGTGAAAACAGAAGGAAAAAATTATATGATGCCTACTTGACGCTGGCACAGCAAGCTCGTCGGAGTTGTTTAGCCGTGGCTACTTCCGTGTGCATCTTCCCACAGCCCTGTACCGCTGTTGAGAAGCCGGATCCCGAGTCTTTGATTCGTGCCCTTGTGTTTGCAGGTGGTCTGAACGTAATCACCGTGAGAAGATTGGGGTCCATGTCCTCTTTGACCAGGTATTAAACATGGAACCTTACTGCTGCAGGGACTCTCTCTCCTCTCTTGACAAAGAGACCTTTGTCTATGACCTCTCCGCTGTGGTGATGCATCACGGGAAAGGGTTTGGCTCAGGACACTACACAGCATATTGCTACAACACAGAGGGAGGTGCGTGTGCCTTATTACGGGGGAAACAAATTCAAGAAACTCCCATTTTCTTCCATAGCCATAATGCTTTAAAGCTTTATGAACGAAGTTGTTTGGAATCAAGTTTCCTGACATTCAGTAGTTTGTTTCCCAGAATGTATTGCTAGTAGCATGTTTTCCCTTTTTTTTTTTTTTTTTTTTTTTTTTTTTTTTTTTTTTTTTTTTTTTTTGCATAAAGCCACAGATTGCTGCTCTTCGCTTTGCGGCCCTTCGGGATGCCTTTTATTGCTTGCTGTTAACAGCATGAATGCTTCATTTTCTCACGCGATGTAACTCCGTGGAGCTGCTCCAGCTGGGTGTCTCTTCTCAGTATCCTTGGGATGATGAGATAAACAGAAAGTGTTTTGAGACTGGACAGGAGCTATTCATGAATAACATCCGCAGGGTTTTTGTGAATTTCCAGCAGTCTCTTTCTGCAGCTGAATTAGCATTGACTCAGCCTCCTGACTTGTGGAGAAAGAGGTACAAATTGCCTGTCTCCAGGGAATTTTTATTTTCCTAATTGAGTTTTCAGACTATAATACACAATTGGTTAAGTTATGATTTGGTATTTCTAAACTCTGTTACCGGCTCAGAAACAATCAAAATGTTCTCCAGATCAGAAACTCCTTTCCAAAGCATCTGTAGAGAAGAAGACAGAGATGCCTTTTCTCCTACATTGCCCTTTTTCTCTGTGGATGTTTCCTATGAACAGTTCCAAAACGCATTCAGAAGGAATTATACCTCCCTTACTAATGTCCTCTTTCTCACTTTGATTCCTAGGTTTTTGGGTCCACTGCAATGACTCCAAACTGAATGTATGTAGCGTGGAGGAGGTGTGCAAAACCCAGGCCTACATTCTTTTTTACACTCAAAGAACAGTGCAGGACAAAGCAAGAATCTCAGAAAAACAACTCCAAGCTCAGGTGCCGTCCAAAAATAGCGATAAGGACAGAAGACTGACATTCCCATGATGGGGAGCTCTGTAACTCAATCAACAGTCTCAGTTTTTTTTAAAACCATTGGCGTTCACATCTTTCCTCTTGGTAGGAAAAAGGCTCGCTGCAGGAAGGGGATCAGGTCATGATGTTTGCCGCCTGGGGTCTGGAGAAGCATATCGAGCTGTGCAATTCTGACATGTAAGATTGTAGTCAGAATCTTGTTTCTAAAGCGTCTTGTTGTTAAATTATGCTCACAAAATGAAACGAGAAAGTTTGATGCTGTATATCATTCATCTCATATCAAAAAGGAATTGCGTAAGGCGTGTAACAAATGAACACAAACAGGAAATAGAAGCATTCAACTGGCTTCAAAAACCATCAGTACCTAGTAACGCTGATAAAACTCCAGAAGGAACAGGTATAGTACCCTCCCCTTTAACTGACATGCAGATTTCCAGGGTTTGAATCACACGGTCACCCAGGTATTTATTTGAACGGTTGTTGGATAGATGGAGTTGACTGCCCTGAGAGCCATTCTTGCTGGAGAAATGTTTAACGTTCTTTTACCAGAGAAACTATTCCCCCTGGCCTCAGCTATCTCTGCGATACCAATTTCTTTGCCGTCAGTTGAGGGCAAACCCGTGGCTGGCAAGCTTTGTCAACAGCTCTGTTTCTCAGTGGTACTGGGGGTGTGTGCGTGCTTGGTGGTTTATTCTCTGGGCTGAACTGAATTGGCAGCTAAATTCACTAGGAATGTGATTTTAAAACAGTTCTGCTCTGGAGAAGGTGTTTTTAAAAACAAACAAACCCCTGTAATAAAACAGGAATGTACCTGTGTTTCTCCTCTGTTTACAGTGGCAGCGAAAACAAAGCCCTATACTACAGGCTTCTGCTGGCATAACTTTGTTGACCAGGTTTATAAAGAAGTCTGAGCCCTGGCTTGCACAGCTTGTGGCAGCAGAAGCGTGGAGCATGGAGGCATCTTACACTGGCAAACTAGCACTTTTTTACAAGTGTGGCTTGTTTTCCTCAGGGGAACGGGGTGGTGGTAATACCACAGCGGTGAGAGACAGAGCTAGCTTCTGCTGCTGCTTCTGTAATGGAAATAGTCATTAATTGTGGTTGTCACACAAGGCCCAGACTAACTGGAGGCAGTGAGGTTGCACAGGTGTAGTGTGCAGGATTTAGCCTGTGAAATCTTTATTTCTGCTGGGACATAAAGGGAAGGAACGCGGTTAAATCTCAAATTCCATGTTGAGTTGGAAAGGCTCTAAAAATGTCTGCATCTGTCATCATCTTGATTTTAGAATTCTGTGAGAAACAGAGAGCCTTAGTTGGCTGCTTATAGTCACTTCTCAGCCTACAGCTGCACCTCAGGTGTTTTTATAATTTGGGGTTTGGCTGTTCACATTTCATGTTTTAATCCAATCTGAATACGTAGCTGCAAAGAGACGGGACGTCTTTCAATCTTGGTGGTTTGTTGGGTTTTTTAATAAGTGGCTAAAGGAGCAGTAATCTAAAGTACGATGTTCTTCAAAAAAATTGGTTCCATTTTCAGGCAGAGAAGTTCTGAAAGTGTTTCTCTTCCTTCCTCTTTTTTTTATTCTTGTCAGCATTTGCCCATCAGACACACGCTGACAACCCTACGTTGTTGTTGGAGGGGTGAAGAGGTAAGTTTCCCAAATACCATTCCTCTCTTTCCACTGTCACTTCTGTGACTTTTAATCTCCTGTCCTATGGGCAAACTGGTCTCTCTTACTTTGGCTGCTGTTAATCGCTTCAGCCATGCAGAGATGAGCACAACAAACAAGAAACTTTTATTTTGTCAGAGCACAATGTCGCACCGGGTCTCCTCTGTCCTTAAAGTTTCCCGTTTCTTGTATGTCTGAGCAACATCCTGCTTTTTGAGCCTACAGAAACTGTCTTTTTGACAATTAAGGATAATTTTGAGATCATACGCTGTTATTTTTTTCGAGATGAGACAGTTTGAAACCATCCTATGGGAACTGGTTAAAAAGTTTTAGTTTCGGTTCTCTAAATGTAGCAGGGTCTGGAAGGATTTCTTACGAATGTCTGTATATCGATGTATTTACTAGGTAGGGGATTTTTTTGTGCTACCAGTAAATAAAACTAATAAAAATACAATAGGCCAAATTGAGATCCCACAAAAGTAAATGTGACTGCTGATTGCAGGGGAAGCTGAGTTGGGTTCAGCTCAGGTAGAAGTTGACATTCCTGAACGAATCAAAATGAAATGCTTGTGATTATCAGATACGTGATGGGTTCTTTTCTAGAGCAAAACATGCTCTGTGAAGACTCTGTGTCTCAAAAGGAAAATGAAAGGAAAAATTGTGCTTAACATTGCCTTTTTGATCAGAGGTGGAAGGGAAAACTCGTATTTTTCCCATGCATCAGTCCTTCCAGGCCTATCCACCCATTCAGAGGATTATATTCTTCTAAGTGACAGTCATGGTTTACTGTGGTGCGTTCGCTTGCTGACCCCCCTCGCCGTGCTGGCCGTTTGTATAAAAATTTGACAGAAATGCAAACCGGAGTGCAGCATTAGTTGTTACTGCAGTGAGCCGAGACTCTTCGCTATGAATGCTCATCTTTTGACTGAGTGTTTGGCATTAATATTTGAATTCAGGTAGTAATACAGTTGTCACGTGAGTCAAGGAGGTTGCAGAGGGGAGCGGGGAGCTGGGAGCGTGCCGGTAGCCGTTGCTGTGTCTGATTGCCCAAGCAGATTTTGTAGCATTTGCTGGTGACGTCTTTTGACATTAGTGGCCTCTCCATATGACATTAGCCTCGTTGTGCTGAGATGTGGAGATACTGCAGGCAGAAAAATGATTGCCCTGATAGGGAAGGAATGAATTATACTTCAAAGTAAATAAACTTGCTTTTTCCAACACTGTGAGGTTTCTGTAATATTTAGCTTTTATTTGGAAGCGATAGCGTATAGCATTTTTTATGCTGTTTGGTTTATATTTGTCTACTGCAGGCTTCTTTATATAAGCATAGCCCAATGCTCCCTCCATGGTGGACACTGTTTTATAGTGTCCTGTTTGCCAGAAACTCGGACTGGAAATTACCTCTCTACATCAGTAAGATGAAAATATGACTTGCAATTACAGTGAAGCCTGACAAAGGGTAGTCTGTAAAGCAAACTTTGTCCCTCCTTTAATGGTATGGCTTCAAATCCTGCTAGTACGCTGATGCGTATTTAGAATAATTCCAGGTTTAGGCTCTGCTTTTGCAAATACCCGGGCAGATGATGTGACTTAACTCATGCGTGGAGTTCAGTGGTCACTGTTGTGAGTTGCAAGCTAAGTGCCTGCGACATAAAAACCTCTATTTAGGTACAACTGGGAGCAGAATTGGTTTTTCTATGTGCTGGGATTCCTGTACCGGGGTTCCAGTCTTGTAGCAAGGAGTCAGTTGCCTTGAGAGATGCTCAGAGCAAGTGTGAGGTTCTTGGCGCCTTGCAGGTTTTTGCCTAAAGGCGTAGGAAGCCACTGTACGCTGGCAGGCTGTCGGCCTCGTGAGTATGCAGCCTTTGGGACAGAACTGTCCAGCATGTCCTTATCCAGTCAACTTGTAAGTAAATTGGCATTCCTTAATTTTACGTTTTTAAGAATGAAGAATCTTCATGTATTCATGGCCAGGCGTGATACAGCATCTGCTGTAGTTGTTGGAAAACGCTTTATTTTAGCTAACTTTATTCCACTAGCAGGTTAGTTACATAAGTTTGCCTTCATGCTATCCCTTTACTGGCTGTGTTCCCAAGTTAAACTATGCATACTGCAAAACCAGTTCCTCTGCAAAGCACTGAAAAAACAATTTTTTCCCCGTTAGGTCTGACCAGAACAATTCTCTGGTCTGCCTTTGAAGTTGTTCATGTGAGGCAGCAAACGGAATAATGCATGTTAAATGCTTGACGTCAAACTTTTCTGGGTGACAGTGCCACCCCCACTTACTTAGGGAATTCCAGATGGTTTTTTGAGCGTAAGAATAAAACTGGAAATGGTAAAAGCATGAAGTGTGTCCTATGGACTCACTATCAGAAGGGGGTTTTGCTTTTAGAAGGCAAGGCTTCTAGCATAAATATTGTCTTGGTGGTAATTTAGAAACTGTTTTATTGATTGTAACGTCCCCAGGCCTGAATACGCTTAATTGCATCCCAAGGAGAGAGACTAATGAAACTTCTAGCTGTTGCCAGATTACCCCGGGATGAGCTCCAGTGGAAGTCAGTGGTGTTGCAGGATGAGAACTACGTAAGCGGGAGACAGGGAGATGAGTTTTTACCTTTCACAGTTTTGTGAACTAATTTTGTATGGTTCCTTAGATTTGGTGCCTTGTATCCAATAATATTTTGCGTGGGGCAGAAACATTGGGAAATAAACTGTGAATTCCCGCCTCCTGGCTGACGCAGCAGGCAGATTTGTGTGTTTTTACAGGTACTCGGTATCACTGACATCTTTCTCTTCCATATCTGTATGCGAATGAAGTTTGCCAGCGAGCTCAGAAGCTAGTGTTTTAGAGTTACATGCTTGAAATCTCTATTTGTAATAATTCCAATAACAGCTTGTTCAAAGGCGGATTAGATTTGGCTTCTTAAATTTTCTTACGTCATCCAGGCCCCTCCAGTCGGGTCAGTATATCGGCATCTCTCAGAGCACGTAGCATAGAGCAAGGATTAAAAACTTCAGTGGAGGTTTTGGTAGAAGCAGCTGTGGCTTTGGGGAGCACCGTTGGTTACAAACGTAATGATAATTGCTGGTTTAGAAATTTAAAAAAAAAAAAAAAATACAGTTCCCATTGCCATGGCAGTGTTTGCACAGGTTTCCCCTTAGCAGCCTGGCAAATACTTCCACACATAAGCAAAAGCGCGCCGTGGTAACGCCTGCGTAAATTTAATATGCAATAGATAGTTATGTAAGGTGGTCAAGTGCCCCTTCTTCAAAGTAAATCATAAAATCCAAGCACCAGCTCTGAACACTGCCTTTTTGTGTGCATCTAATCCTTTCAGCAGGTTTGGGACCAGATAGGACGGACTTAGGTGGAGAATTTATTGCCTGTGGGAATACAAATCCTCAATTCAGTGGATTTTTGGTGTCTATTACATTAATACTGATACCTGTTTATTGCAGATGGGAATGTGAAGCATTGCAGCAAGCTTCTAAATTTGTAAACCCACACATTTAAATGATCAGAAGCTGCATACGTTCGTTACCTGTACCGACTAGTGATTATTTGTCTTAGTTGATTTTAGGGGTGTGCCTTTAGGCCGCTCCTTCTGTTGTACTGATTTTTATTTTGTGTATGGGTTCCACTTGTTTAAAGGATAGTGGGCCAAAGTACTTTCAAAAGGTATGTTCTTACATCTTAAAAATGAGCTCTGCAATGGGGGCCCAAGACTGACTTTAACCACTGTTAACTATTTATTGTGCTGAAGCTTGTGCACGATGCAGAATGCATCGCAGTTACAGCAAAGTGCTGTGCCCTTAGGGTTCTTCTTGAACTGCCGTACTACTGATTTTGTGCAGGCCGGAGCGGGTAGGGAAGGAGTTGGGATGAGTGAAACGACCAATAAAAAGAAAGCCAAGCCAACCACAGCAATAAGCTGTCATGAAGAGACAGGAAGCATCCGATGAGGGCACCCCGTGTGTTAGAGGGTTGCGTGTTTTGCAGGCAGGGACATTAGCGCAATCCAAACGCAGCCTCGTTAGCAGCAAGCTCCTACTGGTTCTATGGCAAAAAACATTCTCTCATCGGTAGTCTCATACTGGCAAAACGAATGGTGCTTTTCCATGAGATGTTACTGTTCCTAAGGAACAGCACCCCAGATTATCAAGTTTTAGAAAGGAGCTACCCACTTAAAGCCTACGTCACTGTTAGTGCTTGGCATAACTGGAAGCGAGAAGGGAGATGATTACTTTGCCTAATTTGATTTGTAATTTTTGGTCGTGATAACGTAGTTCCAATAGAGGTGGCAGGTGGTGAATTTTCTTTTTCCCCCCATGCTGAAGCGCTGCGCCCTGACTCATCAAACTAGGGCTTGGTGGAAGCTGGAGTAGAGGCCTCCTCTCGTTTCTGTTCCTGCTTTACAGCCACTTTTTGTGTGAGCATGTCCTTACGCAAGCGTGGGGCTTCTGAATGGTGCTTCTGCTAAAGAGAAGCAACCACATCCCTTCAATGTGGGCAGGGTTAAGTGTGAAGTCCTTAGGCTAGCCTTACTCCCTTAGATAACCCTGTCCGTACCGTGGGGATAATTTGTACTGCTACAACATTGTTGGTACGAACCCGTGCCGCGTTGGTGGCTAGGCAAGGTTCAAGAACGTACGATAGCACGGGCAGGCTAGAGCTACGCACATGGATAACGTCGCCGCAGGCTCGTGGGGCGCCGCTGAGCGGAATCGGTAGCTGAGAAATCAGGAGAACCACCCGTGAGGCTCCTTCTCTTCTGCACAGCTAGCACAGTCTTTGTGCTTCGTAACTCCACGCCTCTGATTTAGGAACAGCGTTTTCATAGCAAGCGTCACCTTCGCTCTCCTTACATGTATTAAATGGCGTCACTAGGCCTGGCTCTATTTCCTACTGCTACAAGATGAACCACATATTGCCATGTGAAAACCCAGGTTTTTGCCTAGTTTATCAGATGTGTAAAACTACAGTAACTTACCACTGGCAACCTAGAGCCCACGTAAAAGATAATTAGGTCCTATTTTTTTCTCTGCTTAACTTCAGCTTTGGTTAAGCAGTCACAAACTCTTTAAGCCACAGCCTTCTGTACATTTAATGAGCAGTTTACAGGAAAGGAACAAGTGGATAAGTTTTTTGCCAGTAAAACTTTTTTTTTTTACAGGGCTGCCTTTCCGTAAAAGAAACTTAAAACACAACTTAGAAACTTGAAACAGCTTCTCCGAGAGGAGTGCTGCCCAGGCGAGCTCCCTTAAGGTGCAGTGGGCTTGGGCAGGGCGCTGCCGGGGAGACCCTGCTTCTGCTAATGCCCTGCAAGCTTCGCTCTTGAGTAAGGGCAGAATTAAAGCTAATCTTCAGCACTTTGAAAAGTTAATCCCGCTCTAAGTTAAGGTTGCTGGAAGGGTGCTGTTGGCAGAGGCGGGATAGAAGACGAGGAGTTTTCCCTCAATACAAACCCCCCCGGCAGCCCGAGTGAAATGCTGCGCCGCTTCCTTGGCTGAGGAGCCAGGCTGGAGCGTGGGTGGGTTTCCTATTTGTTCCAGTGACTTCTGTAGGGGCTTGAAGTCAGAACGGCCTCCAGTTTCTGCTTCAAGTTTCTGGTATTTACGTCACTAATGACTTAAGCTGATGTGTGCCATGCTGTGCTCATGAACGAGGCTGCCTTTGCTTCAAGGACGCTCCCAGGCAGCAGCGAGCGACAAGAGAATCCAATTAATTACTGAATGTTTCTGGCAATGTGTCCAGCTGTCTCACAGCTCGGTGCAAGCGCACTAGAAGCACGGCTCCTAATCGCGGGGTCAGCCGGTTTTATTTTAGT